CCTCCACCCTACTAGCGATGGCCTCCACCCTACTAGCGATGGCCTCCAATATGACCAACGTACGACCCGTCCGATCTCATGGGATCCAACGTTTCGTCCAGGTTCCGACAGCGACGGCGAGGAGGGTGCATTCAGTGGTGGCGTGGTGCCCACGAGGTCCAAGGATCGCCCAGGCGGGTGCCGGTCAAGGAGAACGAAAACACATGGAACACGCCGGTGGGCAGGGATTTTTTTGAAGGGGGTCCGTGAGAATGGTTTCCATCATATTCTTTTGGCACTGATTTGTGCTGCGTGACACAACGGGTCTGCTTGACATCGTGACTCCAGGTGCGACACCAAGTGCGTTTGACCATGCCAACCGGCAGATCTCCGATTGGGGGTCTCGGCAGGCGCGAGCCGAAGCAAACTGTCGTGGTTGAGTTCGACGCTCACTTCTTGGGAGAAGGAAAACAAAAAGAAAAGAAAGAAACCTAAGAGCATCTAAGAGCAATGGCCTCCAACCCAATAGCGATGGCCTCCAACCTAGCAGGGAGGGGAGCGGGCTGAAACAAAAGGGTTTGAGTTATCTTTTTTCTCACTTGGGAGAAGGCCAGTCTAACTGGGGACAAGTGCCATAGCGTTCTTGAGTCCAGGCCCACCCCAAGCCATGATTCATGAGAGTGCAATATGCTTTGCCACAACGCTATCTTAGTGCAATGGCATCTTTTGCTGCAAACGACTTGTGGATAGACCCTCACAGAGACAGGCCAGACCGTGCCTAGACCTAGACTTGGTCAAAGCTTGGAAATCCTTTTGTTGAGGACTCCAAGTAGAGTTTTGTCTCTTCTTGATGCACCTTTCTCCTGGCACCGAAGCCGGCCCAGCCAACTTAGCATCATTACCACACCAGTAACTTTCTGGCTGCAGCTGATGCTCATCATTTTGCCGCTTCTCACAGACCTTCTCACCTAGCAGGTCGTCAACATTGCTGCTTTCTACCCTAGCAGGCCCAAGCATTTTCAAGTTTCAGCTCCATTTTCGTGATGAGGATCGCAAAATGATCCCTTGACCCAGCAAAAGCATCGCGCTGAGACCCAAGATTCTGGCCCCCGAGCTTTTTTTCGCCGACCGATACCCGTGCCCGAGGTCTCTGACTGGGGCGGTGTGCGGCAACTCTCTGACTGGGGCGGTGCGCGGCAAGTCTCCGAATTTGGTGGTGTGCGGCAAGTCTCCGAATTTGGTGGTGGGCGGCAAGTCTCCGACTGGTTTGGTCAGCTGCCACAGGCCTCGATGGGGGTGGCTGCTTGGATGGAGGCGTGAAAGCCCTACTGTAATTATCTTATCAAGTGGGGCTTTTGCTTTGGCCGCAGAGTTGACCTGAGCCAACAGTTTGCTTCCTCACTCAATTTTCAAAGCAGAATAGAGGTGGAGGCGCCTTGTTTTGAAGAACCATGCCACAACGTCTGGGTAAACGTGTGTAAAAACAAGTATCTTGCAACAGCCTTGATTCTTATTATAGAACCGTTCACTAGGCACTGAATAGGATATTGCTGGATTCTGCGTAATTATGAGGCCATGGCCCGCATCAAAGAAGCTGTTTGAGGAGCACAGTCAAATCCGGCTCCTTCCATTATTCATAATTCTTCCATTCTTACTTGGGGTCATTAGATATACTGTATATATATATATACATAAATAATCTGTTTCTGGAAGATGGACCCGTTGAGTTGCTGCAATTTTTCACCACAAAACATGCTTGGTCTCCGTTTTCTCCACTGGGGCATCCGCCCTGTCGCGTCGCCTCGCGACGCGACAGGGCTCCGAGCAGTTGGGTGCTCGCGGTTCCGAAGGGCCTGAGACTGGTCACAGTGCCTCGGATGGCGGATGGCCGCCCTGGATGATGGTGTTTTTGAGGACCAGGAACCGGAAAATGACAAAACGGATGAATCTTTGGGCTCCGGGATGGAAGTTTCAGATTTGGCAAGATCAATCAAGTCTAAAGCAACAATAGTAGTAACAATCAAGACACGGTCGATGGAATTGGCGTGAAGTCTGTCTGCAGGGTGGAAATCTGGATCAATAACACCTTTGCTCGCCACAGAGGTTCAGGTTCGGTTCCTTCTGCGTAGCCCATTCATCTCCTTTGCGGTGTGATCAGGAATAGGCCTATGACATCCTATGACCCAGTTCCCGAGCAAGAAGAACGTGCTATTTCATTTTCACCAGTGGTAAGCGCGTTCCAGTTCACCCTCGGTAGACTTGTAATGCGTTGCTTCACCAGTGGCCACACATCCAAGGACCCGGAGGTGGACGGGTCGTTTCTTCCGTGTGTGTCTTCTTTTGGTGTGCTTTTACTTAAAAAAAACACATTCATTGTGCTTTTATAAGAGCACAGTGTCTCCACAGAAAGGACAAACACTGCCTTTCCTGGCTTTCCCTATTCTTGTTGAAACAAGTAAACAATTGACATTGACCGTTGACCTCCATGATTCACGGGGCTCCAAGGAATTCTTCCCTTGTAGTGAGACGAGCTTCTCCCAGCCATACCTTTGTGTCCCTGGGTGTTTCTCACCTGGGATCTGGAAAGCATCGTTCTTCTACTACCATAGGCAACCCAAGTTCCCTAGTGTGTGTTGTTTCAAGGTTCACTCAGCACTTGTCACGACCAGATAGGTCAGATCGTTGCTTTCGACGAGCCGTCCGCAGTGGGCACCCAGGCGAAGGCCTCGGGAAGTCCTCTCCTGGTTCGCCGGCGAGCGGGCTGGGGGCGATGATGCCGCTGGAGTGTTGGCTCCACCGACCAAAGAGCGCTACCACCAACCGCTCCACACTGGGCCCTGGCTCCACACTGGGCCTGGGCGGGCCGAGTAACAAAAATTCCAGGACGGGGAGTGCAGATGTTATGGCCACTAGGACAGCAATCAGTTGACGCTTTGCTTTTGGATGCTAGATGACTAGATGACCATAGTTGAACCTGTGGGAACTATACAAGACGTTTTGCTCATTTCACGATAGGTAGATTTACTTTTGAATGTGGTGGTTTCGGTAAGCACATTGATCACGGAGCAAGTGGGCTAGGCCCTGCAGGGGTCCCAATCGCTGTTGATGAACCTGTACCTTATCACAGCCCAGTCTCTGTCATGCACAGATGTCCCCTTACGAAACCGGTGTGGTCAGCATTTCTTGAGGTTGTTACATTTTCAACACAAGCATGGATTTCCTGTCCGCCCCCCCCAAAAGTCGCGCGGTCTTCCACGCTTTTGAGGCGAAGGACCTCTTGGCGGAGCGCTGGCGGTCATGTACGTTGAGCCCCACGGGCCACTTCCGGACGCTTGGACGGTGGATGCGGTGGCAGGGTGTGACGATGAGAAACGCTTTGGAGGCCTTTGGACCAACATATTCAAAACGTGTCACGAATTGGAACGTGGCTGCTTGCCAGTATCCAATGAAAGTGTAGATAGTGTATATCTAATCAGACTTAGTTGTATATGTATAGTGCTATGAAAGTAGTCATGACAGGGTTCTTGTGGCCATTGGCCCAGCCTTGAGCCGCAGAACGGAACCCTGGCACGTACCCCCCCTTTTGAGAGCAACACGGGAATTGACCAAAAGGCCTTGAAATGTGTTGGCGTTAACCAAAACAGAGGACCCTGTACTTCGCTTGAGCACCTTGTGGCGGCCAAGCACCTTGTGGCGTTGCCTCTTTTCTTCAGCCACGGCTGCAGTCTGAGGAACTTGTGGGACTTCCTAGGGATCATCCTGCTGGTCTTCGATGCTGTCACCTTGCCGGTCCAGTTCGTCACCAGCGGCTTCTACGTCATTTTCCCGGCCCTGTCGGTGGTCTCCAAGTTTCAGGCGCCCACCTGAGAGTCTGGAGGGGCAACCTCTCTCCTGAACTCGTCTGAGTAGCCTGGAGCCTGGAGCGGCGCGTTGTATTTTTTCACCTGGAGACATTTGGAGAATATAAGAGATTGGATAGATTCTGAATCGTAATAGAATAGACACTGTTTTTCACTCCAAGTTGGTGATTGCACCTTGTAGCGGAGGCTATTGACATGCATTGTCCCCGCCCATCCAACCCGCATGACAGGTGTGTGGCGGAAGATTCAAAAAGTCATCAACAAAAGACGCAATCACCCCCCTGACAAAGTTTTCTGAGACAGAAGGAACATATCTTTAGCCGATCTCATGCACAGCAACAAGCTTCGCTACGAACGGGGCTCCGATCGCCTTCCTACGAACGGAGCGATCGGACGCTACGAGTTCCGGGGCTACGGGGGCATCGCGAACCGAACGGAGCAAAGACGCTACGAGTTCCGGGGCACCCATTCACCCATGGCCCAAACAGAAAGACCCTGAACATCGACACGTCCGGTCGTCCGCATGTCCGCAGGTGCTTTATTGGGCCCTGGACGTGCTACTAAGCTTTTTCACTGGATATTTGGACAAAGGCAACCTCATTCAAAGCCACAAGGACCCATCAAACGATCGCCCAGTAGATCGAATGTGGCAGTCGTCTTCCGATTGGTTATGGGTTTGTCATGGTTTGTCTCACATTCGGCTGCGGTTATGGTTTGCTTATTCCAGGAGGAATACGCACCACTTCGAGCATCGCCCAGTCTGCGACACGGTTTCCTTTGTAATTAAGCTTTATCGTAAACTTGTGATGACTGATGATCATGCAGTGCTGTAGTAGTCAGCCAACCGGTTGCGCGCATACTTTTGGATGCTAGCTAGCCCTAACACTCACCCTTCTGGTTCTAGTTCTCATGCAGCTGAGCCTTGCTTGTGGTTGTGAAGTGGCAGCTGCATTGATTGAAGTCTTGGTTTGCTTCTTTTTTTTGTTTAATGCTGTCCCGCCCGCTGCCTTCCACGCGGCCGGGTAGATTCAGTGTGGATCATCTGGAGGCTGGCCTGCCGCGCCCTCGGTACCCGCTGATTGTTGCTCACCCTTATCGTCTGAATTCCTCCGCGCAGGCTTGGGTTTCTGACAGGCAGTTTGCGTTGACAAGCTTCCGACCCACAGCGTCCCCTTGTTCAACTCGGCGGACACCCTTGCGAAGGAACTGGAACACCGAGAGCGTGAGAAGCTGTCCTTAGCGCTGTTACAAGCGTGTCAGTCGGTTGCTGAGCATAGCTCCGTTCTGCCGTCATTGCAAGCGCAGGACCTTGGCAAAGTGGCCTTTCTCTTCCAGGATCCTGCGCGTTCCACGTTGCCCAAGCATGAAAGTGGTTGGCTTCGATGGTTGCGGTTCTGCAGAGGGTCGAATGTGAATGCCGGTGATCCTGAAGTTCGTCACACGCTGGATTTCCTGGAAGCGTTGGCGGAAGGGTCTGGTGGTGATCGAGGTCATATGAGAATGTCGTCCATGCCTTGTGTTTTGTAGCGCGCAAGCTGGGCCTAGATAATTTTCGGGCATGTCTTCAAGGTCCCATCGTGAGCAGTTGGTTGCAAGCAGGGAAGTGGGACCAACGTCCAGTGCGCGAGGCCTTACCCTTGCCTCTTTTTGTGGTATGCGAATTGGAGCAAGCAGTAGCCACTGGCCCTGATGAAGACAGATGGCTGATCAGTTGCTCCCTTTTGATGATATGGTGCAGCCTCCGCTTCTCGGATGCGCAACGGATTGACTTGTCTACAGTCTACTTTGCGCGGCTGGTGCTGGCGCTCAAGACACGTGCTACAGGTTTCGCGTGGGGCTGTTGGTGCTGCGGCGCCACCGGCCTTGAGTGGGCTAATACTTTTGTTAAGACTGTGTCCCAGCCGGGACTATTTGATGGCCGGCAGTCGTGGCCCTTTACCTTACTCGTGTGCCTTGGCTCAGCTCCGCCCTTGCCTTCACGTTTACACTTCTCTTGATCAGGGCGTTATCATGACCTACCCATTGCACAGTCTTAAGGTGACTTGCCTTTCTTGGAGCTTGCAATTACAAGTTGAAGTCGAACAGAAGGCTGCGCAGGGTCATCATCGAGTCCGTTCTGTGCCAGGCAGTGCCAGGTACAGTGGTGAAGTACCGGCGGGGCGACGTTCTTCCAGCTCTGCACTGCCAGAGTTCGATCTTGCGCGCGGTTGCTGGTGGCTGGGTCCCTTTAACTGCTTTGGTACGGGGAGTTCACACAGTTCAAGAACATCGCCCCTTAAAGCTGGCATCCGTCCATGGCCTCGAACCAGACACTGATACGGATGACGATTCCTGTTTTGGTTTTGCCCTGGAGTTGCTGCCCCCGCTGACTGGGCTTGATTTCAACAGGTGTTTTGGCTTTGCCCTGGGTTTGCTGCCCCCATTGACTGGGCTTGTTTTCAACAGGTGCTTTGGTGTTGCCCTGGGGTTGCTGCCCCCGTTGACTGGGCTTGATTTCAACAGGAGATTTGGTTTTGCACTGGGGTTGCTGCCCCCCGTCGACTGGGCATGATGTTTACAACAGGTTTTGGGTTCTGCGTTGGGGTTGCTGCCCCCTTGACTGGGCTTGGCATTGGACTGGGGTTTTCAGTCTTACGGGTGGTGTTGACGGTCATTGTGGTTTATTTTCTTATCTGCGAGAGCTTGCTTGTATGCATTGAGTGCGTGGTGATTCACGGCTTAAAGCAGTTCACTTGCTGGTGTTTCTTTTCTGTTTTTCTGTTCAGTATGGCTGCGCCTGCCTGGATATCAGCGCTCTCTGAGGCCAAGGTCCCTGAGCAGGTGCAATCCAAACTGGTTGCCATGGGATATGAGACAGCCGACTCCTTCCACTTTAAAGACGAAAGGGTCTTTGAAGCCTTCGTGAAGAAGTTTTTGGTGGTTGAGAAAGAATTTGGCAAGCTGAAGGTATTATGGTTGAGTGCGAAGAGTTCGGTATTGGGGGGTTCGTTCGCCGTGCCAAAGGCTGAGGGCTTGGCATTAGCTCTCCCATCTCCGGTGTCAGGTTGTGGGCTTGCCGGTGCCTTGGTTGGTTTGGGAAAGTTGCTGTCAGCGCTGGACAGAGACAAGATGCGCCGTGATGTGGAGAACAAATATAGTGGCGCCATTCTTACGTTGGAGTCTTTGCCATGTATGTCTTTGAATGCGGTGTATCTTCAGAGAAGGCTGCTTCAGTTGTGAAAGGGAGGCGCAAGCAAGTTGTACAGGACACATTCATGGAAGCTGTTGCGCTGGGCTCGGGGCTCTATGAACAGCAATGGGACAGGGAATTGTCCTCCGCCCCTTGGCAGGTGCAGGGCCTTCTTCAGACCTGGGCGCACGCCTACGCTATGCATGGTTCAGGCATGTCATGTGGGCTCTTGGTCGTTGTACATCAGCAAGTTCATGCAGTTTTGCACCATGGAAGTGAAGGGTTTCGGTTCCCCACGGTGCATGAAGCAGAGAATGCAGATCAGGCGGCTATGTGTGAAGTGTTCTCACTATGTTTTGCAGATGCTTCGTTTGACGACGCGTTGTCGACTGTTGCGGTGGACAGAGATATGCTGAGGCGTCTGCTCTTTCCAAGGCCAAAGTTGCAGATCAAGCCACGTGAAAGGGAGCCACTGAAGAGGCGCCGAGCTGGCGAACCTGGCGGCCCCAGCGCTTTCGTTGGCGTGAGGGCGAGTGCAAGTTGAAGCCATGCTGATTCCTTCATGAGTGCGCATCCTGTGGCTCTTCGAAGCATGCTGCGGCTCAGTGCCCCAACAAAGAGGTGAAGAAGCCCGAGTGACTATCTGTGGTCTGCAGCGCGGATACTGGGGAAAGGAGCTTTGTCGAGGGCAAAGACGAAATGGCTGTGCGTGTTGATGAGCAGAAATCTTCTTGGGAGCCTCGCGCTGCAGCGCCAGTGTTGATTCAGGATGGGGGCGGCTTGCTTTCGACTGCAGATTGGTTGGCTCCTCGTGAATCTTCAGATGTTTTGGGGGGCCTTCGTCGTGCGTGCTTGAAGCTTGCTTCGTCGTGGAAGTTAGTTCCTTGGCTTCTGGAGCATGTGCGCTGCAAAAGTGAAGCAGCGCTCCAGGGCGTTCGCGAGCATCAACCATTCTTGCTATAGACGTTTGCCACGCACTCTCTCAGCTGACGGGGTACCTACAGCGGTCTTGGAGCCCATTATTCCATCCGGTATTTGGGAAGCCTCATCTGCAGGCATCTCAGATGAAGTTCCGTGTGATTTGTTGATTCATGCTGGGCCTTGGCAAAGTGCTTTAGACGATAAATCTCTCACCAAAGCTCTGTTGACGCAAGATGTGGAGGCGGGTCATGCTTTTATTGTCGAAGGTGGCGAGGCTGCGGCCAGGTCCAAGTAAGTGGGGGCCTTGGCAGCTGGCAAGATTGGCGTGGTTCGCGCCCCAGGCAAGAAGCCTCGGGGTTGGTTGGGGATTGCTCAGTGAGCAATTTTTGTCATTGCCTTTGATCGTGGGTCGCATTTTCCTTTGACGTGGCTGGGGCCCATAAACAGATCCTGGTGAGGGACACGGAGCTTCTTCGGGGCGCGGTGTTCCGCCTACTGGTGGAGTTGAGTTGGTGCTTGGTTGGTCAGTATGCTACACCGGTTTATTTGGGCACGGCATGGGCTATGGCTGTATGTCATTTTGATCTGCAGAGAGGCAGCCCCTTTGATCTCGTCTGCAGTGGTGATTTCCTTTGTGCATTGGGGGTTCCTTTGAGTTGGAGAAAATTTGATGTGGGCCACGAGATCGTCTGGATTGGATGGAAGTTTTGTTTTTCATCTTTCACGGCTCTCTTGCCTCCAGACAAAGCAGAAAAGCTTTTGGGCGTGCTTCGTGGTTTATGCGAGCGTGGCCGCAAAGTGAAGAAAGCGGCAGTAGAAGTTTGATTGGTCTTCTGATTTGGTATACCTCTGGAATGGTCTGGCTGCCGCCCTTGGTTGAGCGTTTTCTATCACTTTTTACAAAAACCGATGGTGGTTACCAGACCTTTGCTACTGGATCAATTTGGCGAAGTGGTTGCGAATTTGAGTTCGGATTTGAGAGTTGCGTGTTTTTCAATTATGACACTAGGGGTGGCTTCAGTTTCTGCGGAAGTTGCTCAGACAGCGAAGTTTTTGGTGTCGGTGCTCGAGACTCAGCCGATTTGCCTGCGGACTTCTATGAAAGATGCTACGTCGTCAGGGGCAGCAGATGCTTTCGCCCATTCGGAATTGGGCGGTCTTGGTGGCTTGTGGGTTCCTGCTGGGGCTAAGGAGCGCCCTTCAAATGCTCTTTGGTTTTCTATTCCGGTGGATAAGTCTGCTTTGCCTGCTTGGTTTTGGAAGAACTCAGGCCCCCTGCAAAAAGTGATTGCGTCTTTAGAAGCTCTTGCGCAGCTGGTCCTTGTGGAGCTCAGGGCGCGTGAAGGCTCTCAAGGTATGTCTTCCTGGACTTTACAGTTGCGCCAATTGTGTGACAATCAAGCAGTTGCCTCTGCGTGCGCCAAATGGCTAGCGTCTTCGTGAGCCTCTTATGGTTTCAGGATAGTTCAAATCCTATGCTGTTCCGATTCAATGCTCACCGATGATCTGAGCCATGGGGCAAGTTTGTTTTCCTAAGAATCTTTTTGAACATTTCGAGAGCATATGTTTGAACATTTAGAGTGCATATGAACATATATTTACGAAACGTCCCTGACCAGGAAAAAGGGCGCGCCCGGTGCAGACGTTGGGTGGGGTCACTAGAACTAATTGGGTTGAGTGTTGGTTGCGCGCATACTTTTGGATGCTAGCCCTAAGACTCACCCTTCTGGTTCTAGTTCTCATGCAGCTGAGCCTTGCTTGTGGTTGTGAAGTGGCAGCTGCATTGATTGAAATCCTCACCCTCCCACCCCATATTCATTGCCCAAGTGCAATGTAGGGTGTGACTGCATGGGTCTGCCACTGGTTGGACCAGTGGCAGCCCATGCTTGTGCAGCTATCCCTGACCAGGAAAAAGGGTGCGCCCGGTGCAGACGTTGGGTGGGGTCACTAGAACTAGTTGGGTTGAGTGTTATTTAAAATCATGTGACGGGGAGCGGAATCCTCGCGATCCCGTCTGCCACGTATTCCGTATTCTCGCGTCTTGGGGCCAAGACATCCCAGACGATTGGGTGGATGATTGGGTGGACAATGTCGTACGGTCAAGTAAGCAGGATCGTGGAGCATGCATCGATTTGCATGATGGAAGATGGATCACATCAGGTCTTTTGTCTTTGCAGAAAGGACGTCTCGCCCAAATGAAGGAAACTGCCTTCCTCGGGTCGAATCCAGGGTTCTGCACTGAGAAACCTTCCGAGTCAGGAGATCGTTTGCCACTACTTGAAGACTTGGTTCTTGCCCGACTTCATAGTCACTGTCATCGACATCGTTCTGGAGTTTAGTGGAGGTGAAGAAGCGACTGGTCCAAATAGACATGGAGTATCATGGAATGATGGAGTCTCATACATAGAACAAGGAATCCTTCTGGAACATGTTTTGTTTTTTTTGGGTGGATCGTTTCTTTTCATTTGTGCATTATACTTCTACTGTACCTTGGTCAATCTCTATGAAGTGTGACCACCACACCAGAAACACACCGGATTCGTAGCATCAAAAACCTGTTGTTGCATGCAACCATTCTCAAGTGCATAACCATTACCATCATCAAGACTATGGTTTGGTTTTTGGAAGGTCTCATTGGTGGTCTCGATTGGAGCTCAGCTGAGCATTGTGGGTGATGAAGATGCAGAGAATCCAGGTTCCCGGATGTGATTCCTCAACTTCAAGAAACACTGGCATTCACTTGCAGTCTGTTCACTCTGAACGACATGTATTTGTATTCTTTTGGACACTGGCTTTGTTCAAGTCGAACATTCAAAAGACGCATTGCCTACCGTTGTGTAACAGGTCTTCTGGTTGGGTGTTCTGTGTCCCAGGCCAGTACCGATCGTGCCAGCACACGAGTTCTACGGCTCTTGCGGCTGCTGCGGGTCGTGCGGCTGGGCAAGTTGACCCGCTTCGCCTCCTTCTTGCGGGACAAGTTCGAGTCTGAGGCGCGGGCCGCACGCCAGACAGAGGGCTAGGACACCTGCGTCGACCTGAATTTCAAGTGAACTTCTTGGTAACAAATTCTTGGAAGGACTTAGTTCATCCGGTGTGTTGACATGACCTCTGCTAGTGCGAAGCCTTTGATGTTAGCAACTGCGCCCTAAGATTGGGGGCAATTTTGTTCGGGCTGAGTCCTTCACTTGTTGGAACCGTTCATGCCTGCGGTTGTCCATGGTGACATAGCTGACATAGCTTGCGAATAGATTGATCAAATCAAGATGAGTTCACTTAGTGGGAAACTAATCCATTGGAGAACTCATCTAATTATTGTTCATCTATGTTAACACCTATTTGTTCGCTTTTAACCACATCCACATGCTTTCGACCGGGAACACGGACTTTTCCACCTGGCAGGTGGCCTACACCCAATTCAGCTTCCCAGATTCGAGCGGGCGGGACTGGGGGATTTTTCAATCCACCTTGAAGCTCCAACAGTCAGTTCATTTCATTTTTGCATGGACTCTGACCAGCATCTTAGTGATTTTTCACCGCTAGTAGGTTGGAGGCCATCGCTAGTAGGTTGGAGGCCATCGCTATTAGGTTCCTCTTGCTATTGGGTAGGAGGCCAGGGCCATTGCTATTTGGTTGCTCAGAGATGGGGCGAAGTACACCTCCAATCTCAGGAATCGAACCACCGGAATCAGGACTCGAGGGCTTTGAAGCGTCAATCGGGTCTATCAAAGGGATGGGTCCTTGTTTGGGGCCATGGCTTCGAATTTCTTCGAGTAAAAAGGATGTACGACCAATTTCACGTCCTGACAGGATTGGGTTATATAGGCCCAGCTGCGAAAACGCCATTGGAGGCTTTGCATGGCTTGGCCGTCCCAAAGCAAAGTTGTTTGAACAAATCCAGTATGATACAAGACCTTTTTTGTTGCGAGTCAAACGAGAAACATCCGCAGGTTTGATGCCTCGTGGTTCTTGGTAAGACTAAGCAGCCGGTATCATTGTCATGACCCTGTACTTAAGTTTAGACGTGCATTTGCATGACCATCCCTCCATAGTCATGCCATAGTTTGCTTGTTGACCTTGCCTTGTAGGACAGTCATCATATGAAAGCAGGGTGAGTTTACTCTGGCTTGCTGGGATACCAGATGATCTCGGAACATGGAGGATGACCACTGATGGTGTCTGATGGTGCCCTTTTGCCAATGGCTTTTTCAATGAGAAGCTAACCCCTCGTTCACTCATTAGCCGTGGTTCGAATACGGGGAGATGGTCCTCTCCAAGGCTTACTGCTTTTGATCATAGGCATGATGCTGCAGGAGCACGTCATTGCTTCTCGGTAGGGGGTTTGGGTGATGGCGGTATTCCCAGCTTGGCCTTTGGAGACCGATGGAACATGAGGTGGAAAGGGTATGAAGGTGTTGGTGCTTGCCTGTCTTTGATTCAGCTGCTTTTCTCTCCGGGTTCTGGAGGTGTCTTCTCTATGCCCCAGATCAAATGACTCAGAACCACCCAGTTTGTCAGGCCTTTCAACGAAGTCAACCCACCCCCATGGTTGGGCCGGCCAGACAGAATCAATGATTTGCATTCGCATGCAATGCACAGGGAAAGGTAACTGCCAGGTAACTGCCCATTATATAGATGGATGTGGGTTTCCAAATTGATGAGGGTTTAACATGCGCCTGCAGACTACATCTGCATTCTGCAGGTAGAGGGGGAAACTGGGGTATATATATATATATGTAGAGGGTTTTGACTGATACTGCAGTAGCTCAGAGCAGTCATTCTGAGTCATAATTCTTCCAGCCATAGACCCTTAACCATCCAGTTACCCTCTCATGATGTCTCCGGACGTTTGGTGAAACAGGTGAAACAACCGATTCTCCGCCATCACCTCTGTTGACCGCGACCCTCCCGCTGTGACCAAGTTTCGAGTCATAGCTTTCGTTCCAACGCCGTGGGACCGGTGAACATTCGCAGCGCCGGAACGTGCACGACCGAGCTGAGGCGTGTGGATGGTTTGGCATTGGATCTTTCTCCTCGGAGGAAAACACCTGGCTGACGGTTTCCAAGAATGAATACTCCTCGTTCACCCTGTAGCATGGAGCATTCAGTGCTGGCAAGGTCCGAAAGCGGCAGTGATTGCGGCCTTCTGTGGGGGAGTAGTTGTATAACACAGTTGACTTTTTGGACTGGTTTCTTCTCTCAGACAGGTTGGAAGCTGAAGATATTTGGATTCAAAACTCTAGGCGGTTTTCATTCAAATGTTTTCCATTCTGCGAGCGGTACTTCTTTTTGGCAACGCCGCCGTTAGCGGCTGTGGGGATTTTGCTATTTTTTGGGTCAATTTTTAGGTTCAAATGGGTTTTGGGTTCCTTTGGGGTGGGTTTTCGGGCGTCACAGTGCTTCACTTCAGGGTGCCTCCACCGGTGTTTTCGCGGCTTGTTTTTTTTCATGTTTTTAGGGGGGGGTTCGGGTCACCAGGTTGCTTTTAGGGGTGGTTTGCGGGGTTCCAGTGAGGTTCGGATGGTTTCTCCATTGTCGTCGTGCTTCGTTCGCAGTTCTCGCTTCGTTCGCGTCGCACCTCGTCCGTTGGTCTGCCATTGTGGCGACAAAGAATTCATACCAAAAGAACTTCCCACAAAAGATGTCAAGAGTTGTCTACTGACTGAATCCAGATATGCACAACTGGGTTTTCGCGTGGCAGTGGCGGCACAATGCCCGGATCCGCTGTCAGAACCTTTTGGAAGCATTCCTATCATTCCTGAACTCTTCCGTTGACCCGCGTGTGCAAAATTCAGCGTGTGCAAAATACCCACAGCCGCTAACGGCGGCGTTGCCTTTTTTGCTTGCGAAGATCTTCCTGGGCACAACTGGATTCTGGATGAAGTGGTCGTAGCGACAACTGAAGAAAACAGGTGGTGGAAATCCCCACAGAAGAAGAAGACATACTCTATAGATGCCAAAGCACATTCACGAGGCCATCGGGTATATTGAATTGGTACAGCCAGCACCCAATCATGCCACAGACAGATCCGCATGAGTACCCAGCAATGTCGGTGTTGGGAACTATTCGCTGCTCGTTCCTGCGCTTGGACTGTGGGTTTCGATGGGACGTCTACATCTTAGATGTGTATATATAGATGCACTTGCTAAAAAGGTAAGATGAACAAGAAACCCATTTCGAGTCCCCGCGTTGGCTATACTCACCAAAGACGTTGAGGCTTGGAGCTTCGTTTCATGGAGGGAGAAGGTCTGGCTGCCATGGTGTGGACGCCTATGGCTAATCCCACAAGAAGACCTTGCAAAGTGATCAGAAGAACTTACGAATGGGGGTTTTAGACAATGGGTTTTGGAGTTCTTGGGACTTAAGAGTCTCTAAAGCATGGGCTTGTAGATGATTTCCTTTTTAGGAACCCCCTTGATTGAAAAGGAACCTGTCAAAAAAAGATATCGTCCTGATCTTCTCAGGTACAAACTGTTTTCTTTCTGGCTGGGCCCTTTGCCACATCCCCACTACTTTGAAGACATCTTTGTCGCGTATCTTCTTGCCCTTGAAGGCGAGGAGTTGCTCCACAAACCACTTTCCTTGGACCGCTTCGCAATATATCTTGCCAGTGCCTATGTTAATGAGACCTTGAAGTCTACGTCGGAAGCACCAAGGTGCAGGAATGTTTTCGATATGGCGACTTCTCCATACTGTCTTCGTCCAGTCTTTTGGTTTCACTGGTAATAGCAAAGATTTGAAAACACACATGGAATCAAGCCTGAGAGCAAGAAACACTCTTCAACCTTAGGTGCTGTGACCTTTTGTTTCTTTACGCCAAAACCGATAAATTTTCACCCCAACTCCCAATCCCATCGCCCGTTCGTACGGTGCTTGAGGCCAAGGCGCCCCAATCCAGCGATCTCAGAAAGAGAACCAGGATTGAAACCACCAGCAAAAGCTGGGGCCCTACGTTGCAACGCTGCAAGCGTTTGGCCTGCTTCGTCAGGGGGTCATCCGTCTTCAGCGGTCCATGCACCTGACGGTGAAAAGCAAGAGCAGAAAATTCAAGTACAGCATCTTCTAGAGGGAAAAATCCGCCGACCCCACACCGTGGGGTGAGGCGTGACTGTCGATGTTAGCCTTAGCCTTAAGCCTTAGCCTTAGCCTTAGCCTTAGACCTTAGACCTAGTCCTTAGCCTTAGACCTGGACCTAGACCTTACCTCCCCTACCCCTCCGGACCCTTGTTGGAGTGACGAAATCCTGCCGGGAAAGCGACCTGGATTGTCCAAGAATCTGCCATCCCAATTGATTTACATCTTGGGGCACCCTCTCGACCCGCGCGGGAAAATAAGCACGGTCCAAAATGGTCCTGGGCTCGAATCCCGGGCTGGTCGCGGCATGGTCCCGGCCAATGCCCTTGCTTTTTCGTAGATTTTGTCACGTTTTCTGTTGGTTTATGAGATTTTCAAAGGCTTTTCTGGCATTTTCCTAGGAATGCTCTAGGCTTTGTCTTTTTGGGTACCTGCTTTGGTGGTGCTGGGTTGGGTCTAAATTGGTAAACCTGGGAGGTACCCAAAAAGTCGACTTTTTGGGTACCTGCTTTGGTGGTGAAGGGTTGGGTCTAAATTCTTGGGCAATGATCGGGGTTCATGCAAGAGCTGACGTCCGATGGTAAATCTGGGAGGTACCCAAAAAGTCGACTTTTTGGGTACCTGCTTTGGTGGTGCTGGGTTGGGTCTGCACTCTTAAGGCTAAGGCTAAGGCTTAAGGCTAAGGCTAACATAGAGCAAGGCTAGCGCTAAGGTTCTATCCCTTGGGGGTCGGCGGCTGCAGGCGGTAGCCTGGTAAATAACCAAAGACCTACTGAGTTGCCGGCTTCGTCACCCTAGCAAGCAAAAACAAGCGACGACAACAAAAACCAGCAAGCACATCATCAACAACAACGACGAACACAACCACGAAAACAACCAACAACGAGAACAAAAAAGAACGACTTCATCTAGGACAACAACAACAAGAACAAATAGAAACCAATCTACCGACTGACTGGTATCCACAAAGAGTTTTTGTAACAAATTCTCTTCCATTTCTTTAACCGCATATGTGCATTGGTTATTCCCCTGCGCTCTGTTTTGAATCTATAGAACATAAAGAATTGGACCAAGCCCATGCAAATGCGTTATCGTTCTCACCCAGAAACGTGTCAGCCTCACTCCCACGCATTGCATCCAGCAATGTGTAAGGGCGACCTCTGTAGACGAGGAACGGATTCACCACCTGAGCTATTCCAAATGATTCGTTGGCACCTTCGCGCGTTTTCTAACACAACAACAGTTTCGGAGCAAGATAATAATTTCCCACAAGGATGTGTGAGTCCTTAATCTTCAATGGAAACTTATTGTGATAATGTGCTGGGGGGGTGGTGGTGGTGTGCTTTCGAATCGCAAATCCGGGATCTTCGTCCTTCGGGTTGCGAGCTTTGGCGCATGTCCGCCGATGGCGCCCGAACAGGAGTTTCCAATTCTTCAAATAAAGTGGTTCGGGCGCCGCCGGCTCCGAACACTTTCTCCATGGTCTGAAGTTGCGTGTAGATATCTCATCGGCGCTCAAAAGCTATGATGCCAGAAGATATGTGGAGATATCCACGTATATTCAAAAACTTGTAGAGATATCAAGATACATCGAGATATATCGAAAACTTGCATGAATATCAAGCTCTCGGGATATCCAGAGAGAGAGCCAGAAGTATCAAGACATCGACATCATGGAGTTGTGCACGTCTTGGACTTCGAGACAGATATCCAAAAGTGGAATTTATTGTGGGAGCGGCAGTCGGGGGTCAGTCTGGCAATTTAGTGCTGGTTGTGGTAGTGGCAGTTGGCGTTAACAGGACATTGCAAGCCTGCTGAAGTTGGAGAAGAGCAAGTATGCCAACATCGCTCTCGAAGTGGTGGTCGTCAACGTGAGTGTGTTGCGCACTGCAGCCAGCAAGCGGGTGTACGATGTGTCTTGGCGGGAGCAACGGAGTCCAGAAGACCTGGCATCGGTACCATATGCTTTTGTGGGTCGGTAAGGGAGTCGAACAGATATGTGCAAGTGTTTCGTGCTTCGGTTGTCGGGGCCTGAGCACGTTGCGAGGTAATTGCGGTAGTAGCCTTGCGCCTAGCACCACCGGAAGGGGTTTTCTTTTTGGGGACATCTGTTTGGTCACTATTTCAGGCCTGCAGTGGGTCATAAGGGGGAGAAAGGCAATGATGTGGAATGTCTTGTCACGTACCTTCCGCGGAGAGGGGCTGTCGGTGACTCGGGGAGGTGGCAGAGCACATGTGGTAGTGGGTTTCATTGTGGCTAAAAGGTGTTTCACTACGAGCCCGTGGGGCGTGAGGTGACAGCGGCAGACGCCGCCGGCGTGCTGTGCGGAACAGTGTGGGGTGCGAGCACGCGCGGCCACGGGGAACTGGAAGCAGCTGTAAATGGTGCAGAAGAAGGCTTTCCTGAAGTGCATATCTCTCAAGCGGTCTTGCGAGAGGTGGCTGCAAATCCATTGGTGTTGAAGCTGGAGGGTACTGATGAGACGGTGCTGACATTGAAGGAGGAGAAGACCATTGCCATCGATCCATCGCCAGAGCTGGTCTGTGATGATTTCCAAGTGCTGTACACCTGGAAGGCCAGCCAGCTGGGAAGTTCGGGTTGCCGTAAACGGGCGCAGGAAACCATTAGTCAATGACACTAGGTACGGAAGCTAGTCAGTGCACAGGAGTTTCCATGGTTGGCGAAAGTTGAAGGAGACTCAGGCTTGCAACGTTGTGCAGGAAAGCTGCATTCATCTGCGAGGGTGGGTCGCTTCCGTGGGGACCATTCAACACAGTCGGGAGAAGAATTTGGCGTACCAGGACGGGAGGATTGAGGCTATATGAAGTGTCTAGAGTCTAGAAGAACCCGGTAGCCTTGTTCAAAGGCAGGTTGTGTGTGAACCACTGTTGCAGATCCGGCGTGTGTATTCTAAGGCAAGTACCCTTGGTGGCCAAGTTGTGAGCCCATCGTGGGATGGGGAAGCAGACATAGACAGAACGATTTGTTATATGTTCAAAGGCCATCGGGTGGTG